GCTGCAAAATGCAAATGTCCCTATCTCGAGCCAGTGTTTGGTTTGTCCTTTTACAGCCAATATTTTTACAGGAGTCAGACTGTAGAACCATTGCTGTTTAACATGGTGGACAAAACATACCTATGAATATTATATTCCATTTCTGATAATAGATCCTAAATGTTACACACTGGACCTTTAACTATTGTGGTGCTGTAGAAATGTTCTACAGACCTAAAAGGTAGATTTGGAAGTTTTGACAGCCAGTCCTGTTTCCTACTCACTGATGACTTGTTTGATTGGTAGAGTCCTCTCTCAGCTCAAGCCATGCTATTATTCATATCCAACCCTGAGCTCAGACTGTTTTCCAGACTTATCACAAAAGTGTCAAAAGATCTGATGATGATCATGATTCAAATATAAAGACAGAAATGAATGAGAGCATGGATTGAGCTGAGAGAGGACTCTACTGATCAAACACATAATCACTGTGCAAGAAAGGCTAGATGTCAAAATCCAAAACTTACAATTAAAGAGAGCCCCTTTGTTTGATACAGATCACAGCAACAATCCCACCATGATCAGCATATCCCCATATCAGTCAAAGTAATCGTCAAAGTAGTTCTTTTTTCCAAATCCTTCAGCCATAGAAAGAGCAATCAGTTTCACATCAGTTTTGCTGACTGAAGTTCAATTCCAACCTCTCTGTGATTCAGATTTAAACTATTAACAGTTAACGGTCCTCTCACAGTGCTGCACACTCGCTTCATCAAACCGTTTCTTATCAAATTCACAGCTGCTTACTGTAATATTACACATAATTACCCATCATGCATCTCATAAAACTGCATAACAGTAGTTTATTGTAAAAAATGACTGAAAACCTGGTGATTGTTAACAGTGCACTGATCAGGCTCCTCTCTGCTATAAAACAAACAGGCTGAATGCAGGGAGTTCATTTAGAGCTTGTGTGCAATGAACACATGAATTCTTGGTGCAGTGTACTGATAGTGTTTGACAAGAAGTAGTACTGCAGCATGTGGACGTATCAGCTCTGTATGTGAAGAAGGTATCACACGCAGAGGCTCACCTGACTGAAGGGAAATATTAAAACGTGTGCAAAAGTTCTTCCAGTGTAGATTGTCCCTCCTGTAATTCCAATATGAAACAGCAGATGGAGTCACACACACGACACACACAACAATAAATAGAAATGAAGCTCAAGTCCACAAACTACACAATATCCATGTTGCTCAAGTGTGTCAGGACTCAACTGGACCCAAATGAATTCTGATTATTTGTCCACTTTGTTCAGCCTCGTGGATAAATCCTCTTTATTGACTGATGCACAAAACTAAATGTTGGTTGTAAAAACAACAAGTGATAGAAACTCTGCCTCATTTCTCTGTGACGAAGCTTTTTAGTGAGAAAGTTGAAAGGACCAGAAGACTGATGACAAAATGCTCTTCTGCTCTGAACATGAACTCTGAACTTTGTGCTGTTTCAGGAGGAAAACGCCTCAGTTAATCAGTTTGTTGGAGCAGAATCTCAGCTATGTACAAGGAAATAATCAATCATCTGCTTATTGATTATCATCAATGCTAAATACACTTTAAATCCCTCCAAAGTTCCTCATTTGTACCCTGGGATTTGAAAACAACAACAAACAAATAAATGTGATTAAGATTGGGTGATCTCTGTGCAGTGAAAGAAATGCCACAACAATCAGCTCCAGCAACAACGATGGAAACAAAACCATTTGAAAGAAATGCAAAGAACAGAATTTACAACCCACTGTCCCTGAAATCACTCTGTCTATTCAGTTTACACACTCAAACTGTGGATCCAGGATAAAGTCCAGCCAATAGAGAGGCCTGAAGTGAATGTGGTCTGGACTCTGTGGAGGAGAGTCAATAGTTCAGTGACGCTGTAGAAGGACAGAAAATACCTGCACTGTGATCCAGGTACACTGCCAACTCTGGAGGACTGAGGACCTAGACAGAAGTTTGGATTTGTTGAATAAATATAATTACAGTTTGTGAAACATTGTAACATCCAAGATTTGTCATTAAATCCCAAATACCACATTCAT